GTCTCCTTCTATAATAATTCCCTTAGCCTCATACATCCATTATTAAAGAAATTTCCTCAATGATAAAATAGAGAGCAGCTCCAATTTTGACTTATCTCAATGCAAATAGCTAGAGCCGAAAGCACATAAGTGTCTTCCCCTTTGATCTCTAAGAATGCCTCCTATATCAGCATTATATGAGCTTAGTAAAGAAGCATCAACATTAAGCTTAATCCATTCAGGTGGAGGAGGATACCAAGAATAAGGCAACTGAGACAACTGGTTAGTGCCCCAGTAATCCGAATACAGATTCAAATAGAAAGAAGCCATAGCGAAGCAAACCGCATTTGCTGCTACCACTGTTGTGTTGTCATCTTTACCACCATGATTAAGTTTATTTCTACTTTTCCAAGCAAAAAAAATACAAAACAATATAAATTGCCAAAGAAAGGAATGTACTTTAATAGATTATCTAATTCCCAACAGCATTCATCCATTTAACTAAAAATAGGAACAGTAAATCCCCATCTAATACTTTTAAAACAAACTCACAATTAACTGCAATGTGTATAGAATTCTCAATGGAGTTGCATCCTCTCGGACACCCATTACAATCCAACAATCTTCTATAAAATAAAAATCATTAGATGGAATTGCATTAATGTTTAACCTCCACCAGAACTGTTCTACTCGAGGCCACAATTTAAGTTTTTTCAACCATCTCCGATTACTATTTTCTTTAATTAAACCTAACATTTTTTTTTAAATAAGAGCATAAATTTATTTATCTGAGCAGAAATGCTTCTTTAAATAGCATTAACAGACTTATGGGTATGTTTCATAAGTATGAAAATTTAGTGGTCTTTCTCTGAATAAGCATAAGAGTTCTTTTGTTGCCTCCAATAAAGTGCCTAATGACCGTATATTTGCTATTAAAGGCCTTATTGGTTTTGTGTAAGGTCACTTGCCTATTAAGTACCTTGGGGTTCCTCTTTTTAAAAGGTAGGAAGAAAACTTATCTTTTTGATAACTTGATTACCTCGGTGCATAAAAAGCTTTTATCATGGAATTCTATTTTTTTTTGTTTTTGGGGTAGATTAACTCTCATTAGAAGTGTTCTTTGCTCTCTCCCTGTTTATACCTCCAATCTCTTCAACCTACTCATGCAATTTGCAATAGAATTTATAAACTTATCAATAAATTCTTTTGGAAAGGGACCAATAACACTTCTAAAATTATCTTGTCCTCTTGGGTAAATATTATGGTGCCTTGAATGAAGGTGGCTAAGAATATCAAGATTGATTTCAAAAAAGATCAAGTTGAATTTTCGGAAGATGGCATTGCAACCAAACTGAATCCTGTGGCAGAAGGGAAAAATTCTGAGGTGCTGAAGAACTCCATTGTTTTAAAAGTATTGGGAGGTAATGTACCTTATTCAACATATAGTTTTGATTTGAGAAAACAATGGAACCAATTTGGTGGATTTCACATGACTTCAATTGGAATGAATTGGATACTTTGTTCCTTTAAAAACAAAGATGTGGTGAATAAAATTTTAAATGGTGGACCTTGGTATGTTAATGGATTCATTGTTGGAATGGATCGTTGGTCTCCTGCATTTTGATCCATATTCGTTCAAGGGTATCTCTGCCCTAGTTTGGATTAGACTTCCATGCCTTCCTCTATACTGCTGGGATGAAGGCAACCTTGCTAGTATAGCTTCTCGGTTTGGTACACCTCTCTATTTGGATGGAAATACTTTTAGGTGGGGGAAGAAAGAATTTGCTCACATTTGTGTGAAAGTTGATCTGGAAAAAAAACTCCCAAATGGTGTGTGGATTGATGGTATTGCTGGTAGATTCTTCCAAAGAGTTGAATATGAAAAAATCAACTTACTTTGCTATCATTGTGGTTGTGTAGGACATGAGCTCAACACATGTCCTGAAAAAGTTGCTCAAGGTATCAAGGATCAGTCTAAGAACACGCCTGAAACCATCATATATGCTGAAAAGAATTCGGTTGGAACGAAACATAATGCTGTGACAAAGGTGGAGTATGGCCCCTGGATTCATGTTCAGTTCAAAAACAGACGGAACTACAACAATGCTAATGGTTTTAAAAGTAACAAAAACAGCAACATTAAAGAAAAGATAGAGGTGGGTAAACAAAGCATAACTGTTGAGCAACAAGTGCAGATTTCTGAGCAGAATTCAAAAGACTGTCTTATTACTGGACAGATTACAGAAATTAATGGAAAAGCTTCTATGGAAGTCAGTCCAAGATCCAATAGAGAGGAAGTTCAACTGAAAAATGCTTTTGGAATCCTTAGTGAGGAGAAGGATTGTGATAATTCTAAACCAATGGAAGATGACAGAAATCTGCTATATAAAAAGATGGAGGATATACAAACTAATGCTATGGAAGAAGGTAAACCATCTTTGTCTAAATCTGTTAAAAATAAACTTGCAAAGGAACTCAAGTCATTGGGGCCGATTGATCATGATAATAAGAAGAAGAAGAAAGAAGGACGTTTGGTGTCCACAAGAGGGGTTAACTCCTCTTCACTCATCTAAATGTCTTCTCTTTTATTCTGGAA